GAAGAAGAAGAAGAAGAAGAAGAAGAAGAAGAAGAAGAAGAAGACGACGACAATGACGACTATGGGGTCCTTGACGCTCTCTGAGCTTGGTGGTTTTCTTGGAGACGTTTCAATACCCAACTAGGTAATATCATCAGTGCTAGAGGGGAGTGGGGTTTGTGGGGAGGAGGAGGAGGAGGAGGAGGAGGAAGACAATGACGACTATGGGGTCCTTGACTCTCTGTGAGCTTAGTGGTTTTCTTGCAGACATTTCAGTACCCAACTAGGTAATATCATCAGAGGAGTGGGGTTTAGAGTATAGAGTGGACGGATTAAATTTCCCTTTATTTAAAACCAGCCTTCCATTTTACTGCTCTCCCAGATTGATCAAACTAACCGTCATTGTGATCATAAACCAGCATGGTCCTGATTCACACCCAGGTGTCGGGGGGGGGGACAAGAAAATTATCCTTTTTTGACAAGCTATGAGCAACACCTAGAGAGAAGAGGAAGTGGAGGGGAAGGGAAAAGGCTGGAAGACCTCAGCCAAAGGAAATGGAAGTGAAGCAAGCTTGCGTGTTATCCTGGACAAGAGTTTGGCAACTTTTGTGTTGTAGATTTATCCTGTTTGCGATAGAATTTTAGTCACCCGGGATGATACAATTCGCTTTTCTGTTTTGAAGCTCAGCTGGATGCTTAGGATACAAGCTGAGAAGAATCAAGTGGGACTGGAGGCACTTAACAATGGCAGCGATTCGCTTAAACAACTAGGCCAAGGACGGTCGTAAAACGGGGCAAAACTCACATAACAACGGTCTCACTTAGCAATGGAAATGTTGGGCTCAGTTCTAGTCGTAAATGGTGAACTACAGGCAGTTCTTGGTTTACAACAGTTCCTTGAGTGATTGTCTTGCTTAGCGACGTCAATTTTGGGGTCCATTGTGGCTGTAAGTCGAGGACTACGTATTCCTATACTGTACCTCCTTGAAAATCAGAGCCCAGTGTTCTTAATACAGCCTTGGAGGACCCAGTAGAGTTCAACCAGACCAGGGGTAGGCAACCTTGGCTCTTTTATGACTCAGTGGACTTCAACTCCCAGAATTCCTGAGCCAGCATGGGGGAACTATGGCCCCTTCATGACTCGCGGACTTCAACTCCCAGAATTCCTGAGCCAGCACGGCTCAGCTTGGAAACCTCTTCCTTTCCCCTCAGCACGGCTGGCTCAGGAATTCTGGGAGTTGAAGTCCACGAGTCATAAAAGAGCCAAGGTTGCCAACCCTGAACCAGACTAATTGGTTGTGACCCGGAAACTGAACACACAATTCTACAAGTCCAGTAGAAAAAGCGGGAGCCGACATGCAAGGTAGTCCTCAACGTACGACCACAATTGATCCTGAAATGTCTACTGTTAAGCAAGACAGCTGTCCAGTGGGTTTTGCCTCATTTTACGACCTTTCATGCCACAGCGCTTAAGCAATTCACTGCAGCTGTTAAGTTAGTAACACGATTGTTGAACGAATCTGGATTTCCCCATGGATTTTGGTTGTCAGAAGGTTGCAAAAGGGGATCACATGAGTCCGGGGACACTGCGACCATCATAAATATGAGCCAGTGACCAAGGCTCTGAATTTTGATCATGTGACCACAGGAGAGGCTGCAACGGTCGTAAATGTGAAGAACGGTCTTGATTCACTTTTTACAGTGCTGTTGTCACTTCTAACGGCCACTAAACGAATAGTTGAAAGTCAAGGACTACAAGAGGGACCTGTTGTGTTGAGACCTTCACCTTCGTTCTCTTAGCTGCCATTAATGGAAGATAATTTGTCTTGAAGATAATTCATTGTAGAGCTGTGGATTAACCGCTTTCCAGTTTCAACTCTTAAGAAATTAAGAATAGAATAGAATAGAATAGAATAGAATAGAATAGAATAGAATAGAATAGAATAGAATAGAATAGAATAGAATAACAGAGTTGGAAGGGACCTTGGAGATCTTCTAGTCAACCCCCTGCTCAGGTAGGAACCCTACACCATTTCAGACAAATGGCTGTCCAGTCTCTTCTTAAAAACTTCCAGTGTTGGAGCATTCACCGCTTCTGGAGGCAGGTTGTTCCACTGATTAATTGTTCTCACTGTCAGGAAGTTTCTCCTTAGTTCTAGGTTGCTTCTCTCCTTGATTAGTTTCCATCCGTTGCTTCTTGTCCTGCCTTCAGGCGCTTTGGAGAATAGCTTGACTCCCTCTTCTTTGGGGCAGCCCCTGATGTATTGGAACCCTGCTATCATGTCCCCCCTCGTCCTTCTCTTCATTAAACTAGACATACCCAATTCCAGCAACCGTTCTTCATATGTTTTAGCCTCCAGTCCCCTAATCATCTTGGTTGCTCTTCTCTGCAACAAAGATGTCAACAAATGGTGGCAGGAAGCCATCTTTTGCTCCCATGGGCCTACGGGGCTCCTCTTTTTCCAGGTTTGACAGTCACGCTGAAGCAAAACGCCTGACAAATCTAAACTTTGCCCCTTTGTCCAACCGGTCAACGCTGAGGATGACACACCCCAACATGACCACCAGGCGGGGAAGCCTCTTCAGCGGTAGACAAGATGACCCAACTGATTTTCGTCTCATCTTTCCAACATTTCTGTCAGGCCTTTTTTTTTTTTTTCCTCACAGTCATCGGGCCTGTGGTGAAGATGAGGGGGACAATGATGGGGAAACCAACTCACTAACAGCAAATGGCTTACTCAATCTTCTCCGCAAAGCTTACATGTTGCCACACAGACATCTAGATGCAATTGTGCAACTGGCCAGGAGGTGAAGAGATGAGAAAACCATGTTGCATTTTACTAAGGTAGCATTTCTCAACCGTGGCAACTTGAAGACCGGTGGACTTCAACTCCTAGAAATGGGGAATTCTGGGAGTTGAAGTCCACCGGTCTTCATGTTGCTGAGGTTGATAAAACTGTATAAAGGGATCATTAAGGCCGAGGTTAGCCAGTTAGGAGAGTAATACAGGTAGTCCTTCATTTGACAATTGAAAAAAAAAGGGACTTAGGACCATACCTCGTGCTTATGACCATGCTCATGGTCACAGGATTGCAATTGGGGCACCTGGTAACAGACATGTCATTTATGACAGTTGCAGCATACCAGAGTCACATCACTGCCATTTGTGACCTTCCCCTCTGCTTTCTGACGAAGGGTTATTCGCTTTGCAACTGTGTGACTTGCTTAATGACCACAGTACAAAACGGAGCAAAGTCATGGGATGAACGACGATTGCATCGTTTACTGACCAGGTTTCAGGTCCCAATTGCGGTTGTAAGTTGAGGACTATGTGTAATGACTTCAACTTTGTATGTTACAGTCCAGCTGGGTTCACGCAACATGCGGAGTTATTCTCTTCCTTGCCGCCTTCGAGAAGAACATAGAGCAAAGACTAACAGAGTTGGAAGGATCCTTGGAGGTCATCTAGTCCAGCCCCCTGCTCAAGCAGGAAACCTTATACCATTTCAGACAAATGGCTGTCCAGTTTCTTCTTAAAAACTTCCAGTGTTGGAACATTCACCACTTCTCGAGGCAGGTTGTGCCACTGGTTAATTGTTCTCACTGTCAGGAAGTTTCTCCTTAGTTCTAGGTTGCTTCTCTCCTTGATTAGTTTCCATCCATTGCTTCTTGTCCTGCCTTCAGGCGCTTTGGAGAATAGCTTGACTCCCTCTTCTTTGGGGCAGCCCCTGAGATATTGGAAGACTGCTATCATGTCACTTCTAATCCATCTCTCCATTTTACTAGACATATCTAATTCCCTCAGTGTAGCCTCCAGACCCCTTATCGTATTTGTAGCTCTTCTCTGAACTCTTTCTAGGACCTCAGCACCATTTTTGTGACAGGAATGGACCCAAGGGTGACCTCAACCAGCGCAATATAAAGCGGTAATATCAGCACCACCTAGCCGTCTCTTTCCTCAGCCTATGCTGAAGTAAAAGCAGAACGGGGAAAAACAATATATTTCTTAACTCCTTTGTCGATTTGTTCAATTTGTATGCTGCCTGTCTCTCTGTCCAAAGCGAATTAATCTAGAGAAGGGTTGTACAACAGAATATACAGTATATATCTCTCCACAGCAAGAACTTCAGAGGTCTAGTTTGGCCCGTAAACCATGTGTCCCCCTCCCTTCCCAATGGAAACTACACAACAGGTTGCTGGAATTGGGTATGTCTAGTTTAACGAAGAGAAGGACAAGGGGGGACATGATGGCAGTGTTCCAGTATTTCAGGGGCTGCCCCAAAGAAGAGGGAGTCAAGCTATTCTCCAAAGCACCTGAAGACAGGACAAGAAGCAACAGGTGGAAACTAATCAAGGAGAGAAGCAAGCTAGAACTAAGAAGAAACTTCCTGACAGTGAGAACAATTAACCAGTGGAACAACCTGCCTCCAGAAGCGGTGAATGCTCCAACACTGGAAGTTTTTAAGAAGAGACTGGACAGCCATTGGTCTGAAATGGTGTAGGGTTCCTACCTGAGCAGGGGGTTGGACTTGATGACCTCCAAGGTCCCTTCCAACTTTATTATTATTATTATTATTATTATTATTATTATTATTATTATTATTATTATTATTATTATTATTATTATTATTATTATTATTATTATTATTTATTCCCTTCTCTCCTTCTGCTCACAAACCCAAGGCTCAAACCGCACATCAACGCTGATCCAGAAACTCTTTGGGGAATCTCTGAGAAAACCCTGAAATACAAGATGGCTGCTGCTCCATTTCCAGTGGGCTCCTCATGAGGTGGAGTGGGATGGCTGTCATGTTCAGATTCTGCCTTAGTCATTATAGGTGGTGTAACCGCCCAAAACAACAGAAAAGGAAGTATTTGTGATCACTGCAGAATCACCCACACCCTTTGGGTAACGGTTCTTCCTTCCTTCCTTCCCGTCCTTTGGCTGACAAAAGCAGAAGGGCCAGTAACTTTATCAGATCAACATCAAGGAGTGCTAAACCACTAAGATCTGAGAAGGAGAAGGAGGAGAAGTTCCTATTCTTTGTCCCGTTGACCTTACCTGGAGGACTCAGAATCCATGGAGCCTTTCCGAAGCCATCGGGGATCTCAAACCGCGTTTTTGCTCGCAGGTCAGTCCAAAAAAGTAAACCTGGTTTATTTCTTCTATAACCTCTTGGAGGCAAGCTGGCATTGCCTATTTTTAATTATTCTTTTGGGGTGTGTGTGTGTGTGTGTGTGTGTGNGGGGACCTCTAGACTAGAAGACCTCCAGGGTCCCTTCCAATTCTATTATTCTGTTACGATCATCACCAAGTGAACTTTACAATACTGTCCCTTTTTTATGACTTTCAATCAAGGCTTTCACATCATGTGTTTTAGAGAAGGAAACAGAGGTTTTTAGAGACAGAAACAGAGGTGGTTTTTGTTATTGGATTTTGTGTGTATGTGTGTGTGTGTGTGCCTTCAAGTCAGCGTTGGGTTCCAGTGACTATCTGGGCAGCTGCCTACAGTTTTTCAGAAGTGGTTTGCCATTGCCTTCTTCCGAAGGCCGAGAGAAAGTGACTGGCCCAAGGTCACTCACTGGCTTTGTGTTTAAGCTGGGACTTCTTCTTCTTCTTGTGCCATATCCATTATCGGACGTTAGCGATCATGTTGGCGATCCTGTTTTTATCAGCAGCCGCACGAAAAAGGGCTGCTGAGTTTTGTCCAAACCAGTCCCTTAGATTTTGAAGCCATGATATTCTTCTTCTGCCTGGACCTCGTTTGCCTTCAATCTTTCCCTGGGACTAGCTGGGTCTAGAACTTATACTAGCCTTATACTTTTACCAGTACAGCAAACTGCCTCTCTTTTTATCAAGAGAAGGAAATGAAGTAGAATGTATTGCATTCCCTGCTCATGATAGCACTGATCAGTTTTTCACAATACAAGCTAACTAGGATCACTAATCTGTAAGCTACATTGCAAGCCAACATCGTCTTCCCACATACCACCAACTAGGAGGTACACACAGTAAACATTCGAGATATCTATTACTACCTTGTTATGTGCTATAAGAGAGGGGGAGAAATTTATTTATTTGATTTTTATCCTGCCTTTATTGCTTCGTAAGTAACTCAAGGGGGTCAACATACCCAATTACTTCTTTCTCCTCCTATTTCTCCCACAATCAACCTGAGAGATGGGTTGGGCTGAGAGAAAGGGACTGGCTGAAGGACACCCAGTTGGTTTTCATGCCTAAGGTGGGACTAGAACTCACTGTCTCCTGGTGACTGGCCCAAAGTCACCCAGCCAGTTTTCATGTCTAAGACGGGACTAGAACTCACCGTCTCCTGATTTCTAGCCTAGTGCCTTGCTTTACCACTATTCTGTTATATATTCAAGATGGACAGTATTTAATATTTATTTGCCATGTATATGTAGGGGTGTGGGTCTATACATATGTTGTATATAGTATGCTTAGGTGTGTGTCATGTATGCGTTTCACTTTGAGAGCGGGCAACTAAATTTCATTTTTGATGTGTGCCGTTGTGCCCACAGTAAAAAAAATGACAATAAAGGTTATCTTATCTTATCTTATCTTATCTTATCTTATCTTATCTTATCTTATCTTATCTTATCATCTAAACCGAAATGACAGACATATTTTTTGTTTGGGGAGTGGCTAGTTTATAGATAGAATAGAATAGAGCTGGAAGGGACCTTGGAGGTCTTCTAGTCCAGCCCCCTGCTCGAGCAGGAGAACCTATACCATTTCAGACAAGTGACTGTCTAGTCTCTTCTTAAAAACCTCCAGGGATGGAGCACCCACAGTTTCTGGAGGCAAGCTGTTCCACTGGTTAATTGTCCTCCGCTCAGCTGAGATTCTAACTTGTTCTCTTGACTCAAGCAATGAAATGCAATCATATGTCAAAATATGTCAAAACTCCAAGATTGAAGGGGAAGTCCAGCAGAATGGGCTGGACTGCACATAGAGAGCATCCATATATGGAGTCCCCTTCTCAGACGCCATCCTTTGCGCAACGTTTTGATGGAGAACTACAGGGTGGGGCATGGTGTGCTAAGCATAAACTGCAGAGAAGATGCTTGTTGTTGTTAGTTGCGAAGTCGTGTCCAACCCATCGCGACCCCATGGACAACGTTCCTCCAGGCCTTCCTGTCCTCTACCATCTTCTGGAATCCATTTAAGCTCACACCTACTGCTTCAGGGACTCCATCCAGCCACCTCATTCTCTGTCGTCCCCTTCTTCTATTGCCCTCCATCTTTCCCAGCATTAGGCTCTTCTCCAGGGAGTCCTTCCTTCTCACTAGGTGGCCAAAGGACTTGAGCTTCAGCTTCAGGATCTGGTCTTCTAAAGAGCAGTCGGGGTTGATCTCCTCTAGGACGGACCGGTTTGATCGCCTTGCAGTCCAGGGGACTCGCAGGAGTCTTCTCCAGCACCAGAGTTCAAAGGCCTCAATTCTTTGGCGCTCAGCCTTTCTTATGGTCCAACTGTCACAGCCATACATTGCAACTGGGAAAACCACGGCCTTGACTATACGCACTTTTGTTGGCAGGGTGATGTCTCTGTTTTTTAGCATGCTGTCTAGATTTGCCATAGCTTTCCTCCCCAGGAGCAAGCGTCTTTTAATTTCTTGGCTGCAGTCCCCATCTGCGGTGATCTTGGAGCCCAGGAAAATAAAATCTGTCACTACCTCCATTTCTTCCCCGTGTATTTGCCAGGAATTGAGAGGGCCAGATGCCATGATCTTGGTTGCTACAAGGATGAAATAACTTTATTTTTTCCCATCTCTTTGCAGGTTGCATCCTAAGCTGCTTGTTGCAGTTGGTGCCAGCTGAGGGAAATTTAACCGTGGTTTCTATACCTGAATACCCTATCCAGGAGCAAAGAGTCCTTCTGAATGTACAGAATGTCCAGAAGGAATTTGAACAATGCGAGTGGACACAACCCTCTGGGAAAACAATTATTTTTACCCGTGAAACAAAATTCACCCCAGCTAATGCTTCCCAAATCGTACAGGTGTATGAGAATTGTTCCTTGAGTATCAAAAACCTGAGGTTATTGGATAAAGGAAAGTATACGGTCAAAATTACCTTCCCTTCTACACAGCAGCAAGATACAAAAGGTCGAGAGATCTATATAGGTTCCATTTTTGTGACTTTCTGTGGTAAGTTTTAAAAAGCCATCTTGCAGACTGTATTCCCCCGACAATGCCTAATCTGCAGTCTAAACATTTAGAGCAGTGGTTCTCAACCTTTTTAATGCCG